CTGTCTCTGTCCATCTTTCTGTCTCCCCCTCCCTACCCCCACCCCCACTCCTTTGTCTGCCACCAGGATTCCACCCTGGTGACAACAGGCGCTAAAGCAGGGAAGCAGGTGTGCATCAGAGGAGGAGAGAGGGTGGGGCGTCAGGCCTGCACGACCTCACCACCCCCACCTCCATCTGACAGGGACCTTTTTTGGTATTCCTCTTCCTCCTTCCCTGCCAAGCCATGACACTGACCTCTAAGGGAGCCGGCCCTGGAGAACAGGACTCCTCACCCCTCTGAGCCTCTTGGTGTCTCTGTCTCACTGTCTCTGTCTCTTACCGTCTGCCAATTTCTATTTCTGTTTCTATGCATTTTTCGGAGGGTTCTCTCTGGGTCTCTTTCTTGGGCTCTCTGCATCTCTGTCTCTCAGTGTTCTTCACTTTGACTCTCTCCCTCTCCGCACATTTTTGTCTCTGCATTTCTGTGAGTGTCCCTAGTATCTGCCTCTCTGTGTCTGTGTCTCCAGGTCTCTCCATGAATGTCTACGACCCCGTTTCTGTCTCTCTGGGTCTGTGTCCATGTCTCTGCCTTTCTTGCTCTTTCTGGTGTCTCTCTTTATGTCTCTACAGTTCTGCCTTCATGGGCCTTCATTACTGTCTCTTCCAGGGCTCCGTTGTCTTTGTGTCTCACTGTATGTATTTCTCTCTCTGTTTTCCCTTTCTTTGCCCTTCTTCCCATGAATCCATCTTTTTTTCTCTCCTTTAGTCTCTGTGTGTCTCTTTGAGCCTTCCTCTCCCTATCTGTGTCCCTCATGAGGTGCAGAGAAGTTCAGAATGTCCCGTATTGGAGACCCAGCTCTGTTCTTGATGTGGAGCATGGCTTCCGGGAGCCTCCCCGACCCCAGTAGACACACACAGCCACTCCCAGCTCAGAGAGAAGCTTTATTCCTCAGGGCCATCCCCAGGGCCAGGGCAGGGGCAGGAAGCTCAGCCCTCAAACTTTTTCTTGCGGCCCTCCATTCCACTCAGTGCGTCGATGTTCTTGCGCCAGTCTCCCACCTCCCGGTTTTCCTGGGGAGATAGAGTCAGAGGTCAAGGTGTCTTCCTGGTCAATGGCCTCTCAAATATCCCCCGCCTGCCCTCCAACCTGCAGGATGCTCTGTTCTGGACACCTACCCAAGGATCTGGATCTGGAATACTTCTTGTCCTCTCATCAAGTTTGCCCCATAAACTTCTTATCTCCCTACTCCTGCACTTCCTGTCTCCCACATACATTTCCTGTCTCCCTCCTGCACTCCCTGTCTCCCTCTTGCATTTCCTGGGCCCCTCCTATACTTCCTGTTGAGGACCACTTACCAGATACTGCTCCCCACAACTCCAAGCTCTATCTGCCCTCATAATGGGATTGTTGCCCCTACACCCTCTCCTCTAAGCATCCCCTTTCCTGTCCCTAGTGACACTCACCTTCTCCGTGTCCTCCTTCTTCACCTGCTTGAGGTGGGCCCGCAGGTCTAAGGACTCCTTAGCCCTGGTTCCCAGCAGCGCCTGCATCATGGCATCCGCAGAGATCCGCACCCTCCGCAGGGTGGGCCGCTTGAACTTGCCCCGAAGATCAAAGATTTTCTGGGTCAGATCTGCGATCTGTGGGCAGCCATAAGGGGAGGTAGAGACCCCTCCCTCCACTTCTCCTTCCACCCTCCAGGCCTCATCCAGGGTCTCCCTAGCTCAGGCTCCCACCACCTTCAGAACAAAATGTAAGTTCCTCATCCCGGAACCAGACATCCTGTCCAATCTGCCCCAGCCTCATCCCTCTGAAAACCACCAGCACGTCCCCATCCAGCTACCTATGTCTCACGGTTCCCTATCTATGCCTGAGCTCATTTACCAACACTCAATGCTCCAGCCACATATCTTCACAAACATATTTTCTGCTGTCCCAATCCCTGGCTTTTGCATGTGCTGCCCCCTCTGCCTGGCCATAGTGTAGTCATCCTTCTGCCCCCTCCTTGCCACTCACGGAGTTGTCCTGGGTCTCCTAGTGTCCTCAACCACAAGTAGCTGTAATGAGTCAGGCTGAGACAACAGCCCCAGGCATTGCACCCTACCCTGAAGGGACCAGACTGCCTCCCACCTCTGTGATGTTCTTGGTGACTTTTGCCTCCACATCATATCTCTCCTCATCCACCTTGTCCACACGGGCGTGGAGCTGTCGGCACAAGTCCTGATAGAGGAAAGTGGGATGTGTTGTTGGGTTAAGTCTGGGGGCCTGGACTCCAGGGTCTGAGGGAGGATAGGTTCAGGGCCTGGACTCCTAGGTCTAAGGGAAGAGAAGCTGGGGACCTGGACTCCTGGGTCTGAGGGAGAAGAGAACTGGGGACCTGGGCCTCTGATGCTGAAGGAACAGATTGAAGCAGGACTCTGGGGAACTGCGAACAAAACAGAACTCCAGAGCCAGGAGTCCTGAGACTATGACAGAATTAGAGCTGATGGAACTGACCTCTGGGTTTTGAGACTGTAGGCAGCTACAGGCCATATTTCTGAACTCATGAGGGTAAGAATTGGGAGGTTGGATTCCAAGGTCCCTAGCAGAAGAGGATGGATATTGACTGGAGTACTGGAGCCCCAAGGATGCAGGACGGGATGCTGGGAGCCTCGGACCCCAGGCTGGACGGGAGTCCCTGATTGGAGTCGGTACCTGCAGCTCCTCGAAGCTCAGCCCAGCCAACTCCAGAGGCTGGCACCGCGTGCTCAGAGCGCGACCCTTCTCTCCACGCCGCTCT